CTAAATGTGCACTTACATATATTAAATGCTACTAAACTGCCAAGTGTGTAAAGCCATCTTTTTGCCATCACCTGTAAAGCTATTTGACTGTGAATCTGAATCAGCATCACAGCACATGCATCATGCACAGGTCTACAATTTAGATCAACCTCAAGACTTTAATGCTTTTCAACATTTCTAAATATTTGAAGTGAAGTGATTCATCAGTCACAGCATTAAACTCATGCATGGTTTAATTATTATATAGACTAATTTCACACTTTTAACACAAGCATAAACATTAGTTTTCTCTGTAATCTAGTTACACAGTTTTCACTGACGTGAATCATGCTGAAGTGAGGTCAGTTACGGCGGTCAAGGCAGTCAGCAGACTTCACGCTGGGTAACTGATGTGAATGGCTGTGAGTGTGAGAGCTGAACCCGTGACGGTCATGAGAACTTCTCCAGAGCTTTGAGAGAGAGTCTGAATCACACACACAATCACATCACAGCACACAGATCAGGTAAGAGCTCATGCACTTTACTCTAAACTCAACACATTAACAAGAGGCAGGCTTTAAATGTTGCTTCAGGGCATTTGCTTCATGAAAATTTGATTTAATTTTAGGCTGTGTTTTTTTTTCACATAGAGAGGCACTGAATGATTATACTGGTTAGCATTATCAGATAGATTTATGTTATAAAATACAAGAAATGTAATTTGCAGCTGGAACAGTGACTAGTTTTTGAGCACATTTCCAAAAAAACCTCTCAACATCTCCAGGTTATAATTTACCACAAAATTTTAAAAAAATTAAAAAGCCATTTTGCATTAAAAATAATTGTATTAGAATCTTTTTTTCATTATTTAACACATAAAATACAAATGTATTATTAAAAAGAATATTTAAATTGCATTATTTTTACATCATGGTAGTATTCATTGTATTGCATTTAATTTATGCAGATTATCATTTTAAATAAAGGTGTATCAAGTTGTTTGCTGTAAACCCTTACTACATTACAATAATAAGAATTAAAATTTAATTATCGATACTGTGCATTAATGGTACTAAAAGCATGCTTAATTTTCATGCAAAATATAATTTTCTATTTTTCTTTTGGATTCAGGGTGAAATTAAAATTGAATCATGACAATTAAAAAAAACAATGGTACTGAAAGCACGCTCAATTCTCACGCAAACCTTATTTCTATTATGAAATTAAAAATGTAATTATCATGACAATAATATGGCAATTACAATGTGTGTGTGTGTGTGTGTGTGT